GGCACATCTACAGAAATAGCAAGGAGGTTCTAAGCTAGGAGGTATAGGGTGGAATAATTGAAAGAGCAGTTCATAGAAAATGGAGACAGAAAGATGGCAGAAGGCCAAACAAAGCAATGTCTCCCAGGCCATGGCAAGGACTTTGGATTTTACACTGGAGAGATGATAAGTCTGTGACTGACAAAGTTACACAGCTGGCAGATTTGGAACTAAAACACTGATCTTCTGACTTGTATTCTAGTGTTCTTTACCTTAGACCCCATAATTTTAAGTGGCAAGTTTTACTTTACAAGCCACTCAGAGTGGGAAAGTGGTAGGGTTGGATGACTAGAGTTTAGGTTTTTATATTTTAAACTATTTGTATTTTTAACAAAATAATTGACATTTATGGAACACAACTCAAAAGTGACCAAAGGTTTTCCATTGCAGACTAAGACTCCTTCCCACGTGGGATCCCAGCCACCCACCTCCAATTAGTCTCTTTCATGGCCTTAAAGGAGTTGGGTTTTAAGACAACATTCATTCACTAATACTTGAGAGTCTACTCTGCCAGGGGCTATGCTAGGTTCTGGGGACCTAACAGACTAAGATGCAATCTCTGCCTTCTCAGAGCGCATTATCTAAAAGACATGAGAAAAGTCTTAAGGTTTGATTGACAAATATAGGCAAAATTAGAACTCGCAGTTAGTAAGGAAGATTTTCAAGTCCAAAATAGTCACATTCTCTTTAATATATCTTGAGAGCTAAGATATATTAAAGGGCATAAAGACTACATTAACATGTTTTAGGCCATGCGAATATGCATTTTGAAGTGATTTTCTATTCTGTATATGAAAACTCCCTAAAATAGTTTGGTGTTCTTCACTAGTCTAGACCTGTTCAATCAAAAATAATAAATTAAAGGAAGTGTCTTAGATTATTTTAGGAAACCTATATAAAAAACTAACAAGTCAGAGTTGTAATGTACAGCATGGTGATTGTAGTTAATACTGTATTGTATATCTGAATATAGCTGGGATAGTGGCTCTTGAAAGTTCTCATGATAAGAAAAAAATTGTAATTATTATAGTGATAGATGTTAACTGAACTATTGTGATCATTTTGCAATATATAGAAATATCAACTCATTATGTTGTATACCTAAAAATAATGTTATATGTCAATTATACTTCAATTAAAAAAAAACATAATAATTTTTAAAAAGAAAAAAACTAAATTGTTTCAGGTGTGCCTTTGAATTTTGCACCTAATCAAAAACTATATGTACTCTATATTTTTTTTAAATTAGGGTACAGATTGTTTAAAAGTTCAACTGAAAGTAAATAGAGGGGAGTACAGTTGTCTTCAGGAGGAATAAGAGCAGCCATGCTGTGGAGGAAAGGACCAGTGGGGTAGAAGGCAGGAGTCCCTGGATTCTAATACCACATCCCCCCATGATCCATGTGGAACCTTAAGCCAGCACCTTCTCCACCCAGCTTCAATTAAATTATGACCACACCTTCTTCTTTTACCTCACCATTAGATTGTGAAATGAAAGGAGCCCTTGCTTTTCTTCTCTGATGAACTCCTACTCGTCCCTGAAGCACTAATTCAAACATCTCCTCCTCCATGAAGCCTCCTAGCCTTTCTTGACCAGAAAAAGTTAGTAGTTCCAGCCTCCAGGTTTCAAGAGAAGCATCTCTAGCATTGTCCCAGTTTCCTTGCAATGTCCTACTGCTTTTGGTTTCTCCCAGAGCCAGGTAGTTGTCTTAAACACTCTTCGAAGATCCCAAAGGTCTATCAGTTCACATTAGGAGTTCAGTAAATACTTGCTTAACGAATGATATGCTTCCTTGTTTGCATTTGTACACACTACCTACATGATTCCGCCAAATATGTAAGACATGGAATCTCTTTCAATTAACAAATCGTCCTGGAATGTAAAATAATAAACAATACAACTATTATGTGATTTTTTTTTCCTTTCAAAAATTAAATTCCATTGGGGTGGTTTCTCAATATTAGAAAATATTTTTTTAACAAGGTAGGGGCACAGAGCTACACCTTATTTTACTCTAGCTAGTACCTGGCTCTTTAAAATGCCTTAAAATTCACAGCAGATGTTTGCTAAAAGAATGAGCTGTCTTTTTAAAGCTTGAAACGATGGCACGACAAACTAAAGCCTTCGAAGACTCTTCTCAACACTGGATGTAAAGATTTATCTGGGATTCAGACGAGGAAAATAAGGAGCAAAAGCGGATAGCAAGACAGTCCTGTGCAGTTACGTGCGGGTTAACTTAGTTTTTCTCGAAAATTTCCTCCAGAAAAATACCAAATTGCTCTAACGGTGGTGAAATAGTGAGATACTAGATCTGGGGTAAGTTTCGGGATCCCTCCTTCCTCCCCGCTTCTCGGTGCTTTCTAAACAGTCCAGGGAGCCTTGCATTGCCACAGCGAGGTTTTCGTTCTACCACTACGGGCTCTTCCCGTGCACGAGCCGGAGCCAGGCCCGCGTCGGTCTCCAACCTCGTCCCGGGTAGCTCAGAGAAAGCTTACTGGCAGCCTTGATCTCGGCGTCGGGACAGTTTAGTTTGCAGAACAGAAGCGCCTGGAATCCAAGCACCCTCATCCCGCGCCAGCTTTGCCGCGCGGTGGTATACGCCCAGTCAGATCTTTGGGTCCCTGGAACCAAACGACACCGGAACATGGTGCTCGGGCCGTGGGTGCAGTGGAACATAATAGCTATAGTACCGCCCGCCGCAAGGCCAAGCGGAGAGGCGGAAGTTGGGGGCGCTGACGCACTGGGGGAGCTTTGTTTCCATGGCACCTTCCGGTACTCGACTCCGCCCCCCGCCGGAGGGGCTCGGCTCCGGGAACCAAGATGGAGTCGCTGAGTCGAGCAGGGCAGGAGATGAGCTTAGCGGCCCTGAAACAGCACGATCCCTACATCACCAGCATCGCAGACCTCACGGGCCAGGTCGCCCTCTACACCTTCTGCCCCAAGGCCAACCAGTGGGTGAGTGCTGCCAGAACACTGAAGTTGCCCGCCCGGCGGCCGCCTCTTAAAGGGGCTACGCGGACAGCTCTGGGTGGGGGCGATACTGGTGGCTAGGGCGGCGGAGATGAGGCCAGGAACTGGACGAGAGCCTGGCCGGAGCCTAAAGGGTGTTGGAGGCCCGGGGATAGGGAGAGAAGGACGAGAGAAGTAGACCCAAGACATCCGGATGAAAAGCCGATGGAGGGGAGGACTGGAGAAGGATCAGTACTTTGGGGTCGGGTCCGGGATCGTGGGTTACCTGCCTTCTTTGCAGAAGTGTTAGAGGATATTAGACCGGTGAGGTCAGAAAGATTCCCGAAAGAGTGAGGGTTTGGGGATTATTAAATAAATTACATATACATAATCTATAAAGTAAACGCCCTTTCTCTCCCCCACCCTGAACAGGCACATAAATAAGAGCCCCTTTCGCAGAGGGCATTTGGATTTAAAGCTTGAAATCCAGTTTCAATTCTTCAAAGACAGGAGGTCTGGCTTCTATCAAACTACACTGTATTTCCTGAGTTTTGCATAAGATTTCTAAGCATGTAGGAAAAAGGGTTCCATGTTAATTGGATTCCCTTGAAACCTTTGGAAAAGAGACTCTGTAAATGTTTCTTGTTCTAAGCTATGCTGCTGGTAGTTTCACCTCTAAATGCTCCCATCAGACTAAATACTTTTTGGCTTTATTGCACTTGAGGGGGTCCGAAAAGTTACATTTAATCTGTTCAGTGACTCGTTGGCCTCAGTTTGAAACTTCGTTCGTTGTTTAAATAACGTTATTGCCCGTTATTGACCCTTCTTAACTCATTCAGCTAAAGGGTTTACACTTAGAAAATAATCCATAAATGTCTGATGGATTAAATTCATAAATTACTGTATTCACATTTCAGTAAGAAATGAAATCTTTATACTAACAAAATTATGAAAAATGATCATCATTGTATGTCCTTACAGATACAGGTTATATTTAACCAATAATTTTATAAAAATCATTCGACATTTCTGAAGTTAATTAAGATGAAGACAGTTGTCAAAATCATCTTGCTTTTTATTTTTCCACCTCCTGGAAGAGGAGGAGGTATGAGAAGCCACAAAAAAACAAAATTACAGATTTTAAGTGCAGCTGTTTTAGACATTGCCTTAACTTGAATTGTTCTGAATAATTTCTCTTTTCTTGGTCTACATATAAATTTGTGAAATATAGATTGCAGACAATGTTGAAGACTTGGGGCAGGGGCTTATTGACTAACAAGCATTTCTAATTTTTCACATACTTTCACTATTTTGGAATTTTAATTTCTGCTTTAGATATGAAATAAACCTATAATAACTTGAATTTAAAAAGTCTGTCATTGTTCATTTGGATTATGGCATATAAAGTATAACCAAAATCTTTTCTCATTGTGTTATCTTATAGTGAGTTGTGACTTTGCAGTGTCTCGTTTGGGCAAATTTTCTTTCACTGTGAGACAATTGATTACCAATTTTTTATACTAATTTAACATTTGAAAGCCAAGAAAAAGCCTCTGAATCCTTGGGAAGGAAAAGTTCCATGATGATATTTAAGCTAAGACTATACTCCCGGAAGATATCGAGATGATGAATTTAAAAACATATATTTTTTTTTATCCCAACAAGTTCAACTTGATATGACTAACATTTTATTACATTAAAATATTTAGGTCCTATCTAGGCTGTGGACTGCAGACTAATATGATTGGTTTTTTAAAATGTCGTAACTATGTTTAAGACCTAAATACACTATCACAGCAAATGAAAGATGATGTGAGTTTGAACTTTCTTAAAACATTTCACTTTAAGCAAAAAAAAAAAAAAATTATTTGTAAGACCTACAATAATTACATTAAGGCAGAGTATACTTTTAGTATTCACAATTCTTCAATAAAGTTCTAAAAATAATAAACTGTGTTTGACTGTAATTCTTAACTAACCACATTTGCTATTCATGAAAGTATACCAAAATCCCCCAATTTTGAAATAAAATATCCTATAAAATTTCCTTTTCTTCCCCTACTAACATTGATAAACTTTAAAAGTGAAGAAATTGCTATACATAGGGCTTTGCCTTTAAAAGAAATTTGGCTAAAACATTTTATCTTTAAAAAGTGAAAGCTAATTCTAGGATTTTCTTCTTTAAATTTTAAAAAAGAAAGATGCTGCAGATAAAAGGCATGTTGCTGGATTGAACTAAACATTGCATATACATTAATTCATATCAATAGCATAGAAAGTATACAGAAGAAACCGGTAAAAGTAGTTTGTGGAGTGAGACTTACTTGACCTGTTCAAAAGTGATTATTTTAAAAGCTGATCTTTTGTTTTGTTTTGAAACATGGCATTGAGCTGCTGGTCTTTTTCTTTTCTTTTCTTTTTTTCAATTACAGTTGATATTCGATATTTATAGTTGTTCCAGATGTATAGCATGATGGTTAGACATTTACATAATTTACAAAGTGATCCCCCCAATAAGTCTAGTACTCACCTGGCACCATACATAATTATTACAATATTATTGACTATATTCTCTCTGCTGTACTTCACATCCCCATGTAAATAATTTGATTTTAAACATGAAGTATTCTCCTTTGGGACTATTTGGGGTTGGATTCTAGGGAAAAAAACTAATTGAGTCATTGTCTATTATAGGAGAAGACAGATATAGAAGGGACCTTGTTTGTATATCGAAGGTAAGCTTTTTTTTTTAATGACTTTTTTTTTTTTAATCTAATGGTGTACAATATCATCTGAGTGCTCGAACCCTATTGTACATTTATTTGTCTTTGGAAACGTCCTGCCTGACTTTTCAATTATTCATCCTAGCTGTGAGATTCTAACCAAGTTATGTCTGGTCTTCAATCCTTCCTGTGATTCAGAATAAACAGAACTAGAACTTATTTAGGAACCCAGCAAAACCATCTCAAAATAGAAGACATTAGACATGAGTCTAAAACAGATGCCTTCCCCTCCCCCATATAAAAAAAGATGCATAGTTGAGAAAAAATATAATACATGGGCTAGCTCCATAAAATAATGTAGTTGAAAGGTCAATCCCACTGTTCAGTGGTCACTAAATGAGAGGTTATCTTCTATGACTGGTTCTGTCCTCTTTCCTACTCCCTCCGCAAAAGTTCTGGGTTGTCTTCAGTAATGTGTATTTTTAGTTTGAGAGTCCTTTAGAAAGCCTGGATTACTCATAATTGAATATTTTTTATTTTCAACTTTTTCTGAGAATTACTATTTTAAAACATAATTGGTTTTCAAATTGTAAATTTTGTGGCTGCTAGGCAACTAACATGATCTGATAGTCATGGAGTTCCTCGTTTTCCTGGATCCCTCTTAGGTTTTGCTCTGACTGGGACAGGCTCCTTTCCTTGGTTTCTTTGTCATCTTTACTGCAAACATTTTCTTGTACAAACTGGTTTTTTTCTTTTTTTTTTTTTTTTTTTTTTTTGTATTGTGAGATATCTTTTAAGGATTGCCTTTCTCCGTACATGATAATTATCAAAAATTTCTCAAATATTCTCCAAATTTTGGGAGGAAAAGGCCTTTACCCTTCACCTCTTTCATTATTCATTACCAATATAAATCTCTAGGGACTTTAACTAGTGTTAGAACCTTGATATCTATAATAGTTGGAAAGTATGTCCCTAGCCTTATTATAACAGTGTAGTACAGATTCACTAATTATAGAAAATGTGGAATTTAGTATAACAAGTGACTTGACTTAATAAAATTCACAGAGGCCTACATGATACTGATTCTAGTAAAAGGAGACCAAAGAAACTATTTGGGAAATGTAAGAACATTTTGTGTACCTTAGATAAAGGTATACCAGCATGTCAGAATATCATTTTGCAGAGACCTTAGCATAGAAGAAGCCTGGATCTGGAGCCAGAAAACCTAAAGCTAAGTCTTGGTTATGTTATTTGTGTGCCTTTGGGCACAGGCCTGAATCATTCTGAGCTTGTTTCCTAATGTGTAGGATTCTAAAATCTCTCCCATGTATACAGGGAAATGAATGAGAAGCTAGAAAGTGTTACAGGGGAGCATTTGAGATATTGCTCCCCAGCATATGTCATCATTCTTGGCTCAAACTCTTATAAAAATGAAAAAAAAAAAAAAGTATTACACACATGTGAGGGTGTCGAAAGGATCATGTACTGAATCACTCTAATGTGGGAATCAAGGACATTTCTTATTGTAGTATTTGAGGCATTTTCTATCTAAATCAAGAGAACTATGAAAAGACCTGTTTGGTGCAAGAAAAATTGTTGTTGTAATGGCTGATAGTCATTATAACCAATCCTGTACCATATTTAAAATGACATTTTTATTGAGCAGATGTTTGGTAAGTATATGTGTGTCTATCTTGGAGGTTCATCTGGGGGGAAAAAAGACAAAAATACTATTTGCATAGAGTGTATATCCTAGTGGAGAAAGAGTATAAAAAATGGTAAGAGTTGCGACCACATCAGTTCTCAAAGGGCAGTAATTTATGCTGATCTCACTGCCTCATATTCAGCCACACTTTACAGTGAGACTCATCCTCTCACATGGGGTTGGGCTCATTGGTTATTTGACCTAAAAACTAATAACTGCTGCCATAGTATATCTTTTAAATTATGCTCCTTTTGGTTTCTTTTATAGCAAGAAATGCAAGTAGTTGCATCTTTAAATCTCCAATCTTCAAGTCAGAATTTAACCATACAGTGGGTCTGGTCGCCTTTTCTTTATGTCGGAAGAATTTTCGATCTTTAATAAACATTTTTAAATGCAAATGAATAAATTATAAGTGTTATGGAAAAAGAGGAGGGTTAGAGTTATCGAGTTTGGGAGCAGGTTGGGAGTATTGAAAAGGGTAGGTCTCAGGTAGGCCTCATTGAGAAAGTGATGTTTTTGAGCAAAGGCTTATGGGAGATAAGATAACTAGATGCTTGCCAAGCAGTCTTTAGGTGGAGGCATACCTGTAGGGAGAGCGTTAAGATGGTAAGTATGGTTGGAGCCAGGAGGAGCAAGGGAAAAGGCATAGGAGATGAAGTCAAGAGGCCGGAGGGCGCACATCACCTGTGGCCTTGTGACCTTAATGAGGACTTTGGCTTTTACTCTGAGGAAACTTCAAGAGGAGGAGGGTTATGATCTGACTTAAATTTTTTGTTTACAGTTTTAAATATTAATTGTGTTGAAATAATATATTCATTCTTTGAAATAGAAATACAGAAGTAGATAATGTTTCTGCAAACTAGCAGTGACTACAGATATTTTTTTCTTCTATTAAATCTAGGTCAGCTTCACCTTACCATGGTTTTACCATTGTGAATCGATTGAATATGCACAATCTGGTCGAACCAGTGAATAAAGATTTAGAATTTCAGCTCCATGAACCATTTCTTCTGTACAGAAATGCAAGCTGTGAGTATATTTGTTTCATTACAGTACATATTTTTACAATTAAAATTGAATGACTTTAGTTTCTATCAGCACATTATTTTTGGAGTTTTGAGTTACAGAAAAATTTTGTTATATACTCCTATGATTATAAATGAGTCTTAGTAAGATCATCTTTTAAATTGGGCTTCTAAAATTTAAACACTTTTATATACAGTAACTTATATTATTTTAGTTAACTATACTATTCCATACAGTAGCATTACATTATATTGTTGTTTTATGAAGGTAAGTTTCACCCTTTGTTTTTCTTGTGACACTTAATTATTGGCTGCCCATGACCGTGAGCAATAGAACTTAGTTTGAAAGAAACAAAATGGGGACAGACACCGATATTTCTACCCACAAAGTACTGTCTTTTCTCTCGTAATATTTTGCAATTTGTTTATTTAGTTCAGTGTCTGCTAGGTACAAACACTGGGCCAAGAGATCTTGTACTTTAATATTAATGGTACAATAACCTATGTGAGGTAGGCAGGCAGTTAAGTCAGCTGAGACTCAGAAGTGAGTGGAGAAAGGATTATAACCCTTCTTTCTGCTTCATACTCCAGGGTCCTTTCAGGGATTTTACAGACTATAAGAATGGTTGGATGTAGTCAGCAAAACAAGAGTGGCCTTTTCAAGGTGTAACGCACTAAAAACTATGCGATACTTGTTTCCTATATTTCAGTATGGGTAATGAAGGTATGAGTGAGGACAGAAGATTATTTTAGTCTGTGTGTGTCTTTTAATCTGAAGTGAGTCTCTTGTCGGCAGCATATGTGAGGGTCTTGTTTTCTTATCCATTCAACCACTCTATCTTTTGGTTGAAGCACTTAATTCTTTTCCATTTTAGATACTTGTTGATATGAATGTAGTTATTACCAGTCTTTATTCCCTTTTTTTATACATGTTTTTTCTTCTTAAAGAAATTCCTCCAACATTTCCTGTATTACTAGCTTGGTGGTGATAAATTCCTTTAGCTTATTTTTGTCTGGGAAGCTCTTTATCTGTCCTTCCACTCTAAATGATAGCTTTGCTGGATAAAGTATTCTTGGTCATAGATCCTGGGTTTTTATCACGTTGAGTATTTTGTGCCCAGCCCTTCTGTCCTGCATAGTTTCTTTTGAGAAAGCAGCTGACAGTCTTATGGGTGCTCCCTTGTAGGTAACTAACTGCTTTTCTCTTGCTGCTTTTAAGATTCTTTCTTTGTATTTAACCTTTGGCATTTTAATTATGATGTGTCTTGGTGTGGGCCTCTTTGAGTTCCTGGTTTTGGGGACTCTCTGAGCTTCTTGGGGTTTTAGGTCTATTTCCTTCGCCAGGTTAAGGAAGTTTTCCGTCATTATTTTTTCATTAGCTCTTCAGCATTTTGGTACCCCATGACACAGATATTTTTACATTTAATTGTGTCCCATAGGCTCCTTAAATTGTTATAGTCTTGGCTTCTTTTTTCTTGCCATTCTGAATGAGTGTCTTTGGCTTCCCCATCCTCTATATAGGTCATTTGGTCTTCTTTATTCACTGTTTATTCCATTTAATACACTTTTCATTTCAAATACTATGTTCTTCATTTCTGACTTGTTCCCTTTTATAATTTCCATTTCCATTTTTATGTTTTTTATCTCTTTGTTAAAGTTCTCCCCTGAGTTCATTGAGCATCTTTCTAACCAGTTTTGAACTCTGCATCTGTTAAATTGCTTGACTCCATTATTTCTGGATCTCTGTTCTGTTTTCTTATATGGTTTCTGCTTCTTTGTCTTCCCATTTTGTCTGCCTTTCTGTGTCTGTTTCTATGAACTAAGCAAAGCTCTTAAGTCTCCGGTCTTATTAGTGTGGCTTTGTGAAGTAGGTGTCCAGTGGCACAGTCCTGAGAGAGATTCAGTTGCAGACCAAATTTATAGCCCCAGCCTGTGCCCCTCCAGGGCCACCTGTTAAGATTCAGCAAGCAGTCCACAGATGCTCTGCTTATAGTTGCCTCAAAAGGCCATGCCAGAAACCGAGACCAACTGCCACCAGTATGAGTCTAGGCACTGCTCAGCAAGGGGCACCTGACTCACCAAGGAAACACGTGAATGTGGCTTAGGTGGGACTGTGAGTTGGTGGAGGTGGAGTTTCAGGGAATCCTCTGGGCAGAGCAACCTCTGTTATCCAGTTTGATGATATCTCAGCTTCGGTGGCGCTGAGTCTGCACACTGGGAGTGAGGAGGGCTCAACAGGGAACAGTAGATACTGCTGGCACTTCTGTACAGAGCAAGTCTCGCCTCCGGCTCTCACTCTGACAACTCAGTGTTCTCCTATAAGTCCCTGATGCCCCCTGCACAGCCAACCTGGCGCTAGTGCTCTGAGTAGGCAGGTTCATTACCACGAAGGTCCTCTCATGGACACAGCCCCTTTAAGAGGCGTCTGCAGCTGCTGGCTGCCGCTGTCGCAGCTTCTGTCCCACTCAGCTGCTCAGGACTGGGCAGCCTTCCATCCTTGCCCCATCCTACCTCCTCCCATTGCAGGGTGATATCTTATTTCTCTCCCTAGTTGTAGGACTTGTCCATCTAGATTCCAGGCGATTTTCCTTGCTGTTTGCTCCTTGTTTCTGTCACAACTTTGATTTGGTCGCAAGAAGGATGACCAGAGCCTCTATCATCTACGTCATTTTTTTCTCTCTCCCCAGATTTTTTTTTTTTTAAGAGAAATTGGCTTAATTCTGTTCTTTACTACCTGAAAACTTAATCTCATTATTACTTCTAAGAAAAGTTTGATCATTAAAATAGCAAGGAAAATTATCAGAGGCCCATGGACTTAATTACCATTGAGCATAAGCCTGAAGTGAAACCTACTGTATTTCTTTCACAAGTAAAGTTCTTATAAAGTTGAAAGTGCAACATAATACAAATATAATTGAACTGTAATTAACCAAAATTTAATCAGAACCTCAATTATCTAGAGAAATTTCTATATTTCGTGTATGGAAGAAATGGCCAATTATAAGAAAATAAGCTAATGTTCGGTTTTATTTTGTGATAATTTAACAAATAACTTCAGTGTAACCTGGGGTCAGCATAAAAATGTGAGTATTCTATAACTTTAACTCTCCTATAGTAAGAGATTAATTTGTCATAATGATAAGACCATAAATCATCAGAAGTGTATATTATCCGAATTAGAATATTTTTTGACCCTTTGTTTTTTATTTTTTTTTATGGTGATATTGGTTAACAAAATCCAGTAAGTTTCATGTGACTTATATTTAACAGTAAGGCACATATATATATATTGCATTATGTATTCACCTCCCATATGCATTAGAATATTCTTGAGCAGAAAAGTGCACTAACACATTTTATTTAGAGATATTTTCAACAGCAGTTTGAAACAACAGTTTCCTTAAACAAATCTCACTCAACCAGATCCTTCTGTTCCCTGGTTAGTGGGGGCTCTGAATCATCTTCCTAAGAGCCTTATAGTTTCTGATACTGCCAATTAGAAATTCAGGAGCACATCAGCTTGTTTTCAGACTAGAGAAAGACCTGAAAAGGTCAAGTGCAATGCTGTGGGTGTATTGGAAACAGTCTAGAAGAGGAGCTTGGAGAAAATATTTAAAGGAATAGCTGTATTAGGGAGAAGTGATAAGACAGTATAAAGTGATTCTGAAAGTGTTAATACCTCTCTTGAGTAGTGTATGTTTTGTCTGTCTCATCTTAAAAATAGAGAGTAGTCTTGTCAGGTCAGCAAGCTGTTGAGTTGCTCAGGGATTCATTCTTTAAATAAAAACTTAATTAGTGTCTGTGTATATAGTTAATTATACCTGATTTAGTAGCTGCTCTTTTGTCATTTTCTTGTGGGAAATAGCACTAAGACACCTGACCCATTTTATTCAAGTTACACCTTCAGATCCAGCTTCTTTTGCTCAAATCAGTTTTTATAGTTAATGTAATAGAAAATTGAACTATAACTTTTTCTGGTTCTAAATTATTTATTTTGTTTTGTTTTTCTTTTTCTATAAAATGCTCATCACCCAAGAAAAGGTAAAATCTTTTTCTACAAAATGCTTATCACCCAAGAAAAGGTAAAATCTCACAGAGAAAATACTTACACTAGCCAAGATTCTCTTGAATCTTTCAAAAACAGTGTATTTTTATGTACTATGCAGGGGCCTTTTGGCAGCCACCAGACTCTAGTAGGACTGCAGTGAGTGTTAGGGAGACTGCAGTTTCTGTAGTTACTAAGCAAAAGTGATATTCCCAGCATCTTATTTCTGATTCCTGCTTTACAGATGAGGAAACAGGAATCCCAGAGAAGTCAAGAAACTTGCTCAAGTCACAAAGGTTACAAGCAACAGAGGCAGAATTCAAATCTAGGTCTGTTGCGCTTCAAAGCCAATGTTCTTTCTACTCCACTGCAATAATAAAATTGTTTCATCAGTCCACATTCCAGAGCACAGCTATCTAATAGATTTCTGTGGTGATGGAAATGGTCCACCAGCCACATATGAATGTTGAGCATTTGAAATGTGACTGATGAAACCAAGAATTTTTTTTACTTAATTTAATTAATTTGCATTTAAATAGTCATGCGAGGCTAGTGACTACCATATTGGACAGTGGCGGTCTAAAGCATGAATCTGTGCTCAAACAGACCCCTTTGTTGTGCCATACCCGAATTGAGCAAGCACTTGGGAAGCTTTGGATTAGATTTTTATGCCTCGCATTGAGTCATTCCTTTTTAAAATTTATAAATGATTTCTAGATACAAAGGCTGTAGAAGATGTCTCTTAGGGCATCTTTGCCACGGTAACACTTTTGGCATGGAACTTAGTCTGCAGACAAGACTTCTAGGCTTTGCCATTTTACCTACCTTAACCTTAAATAAATCACTTAAACCACTAACCTAACCTCCTTGTCTTAAAAGAGCATCATATACGTGAAGGTAATTTGTCACGCACTTACAAATGTAAAATATTATAGACTGTGTCTCCATATTGGATTCAA